GACATAGTGATTCCGCTGCGCCTTTCCCTTAGGCATCCATCATGGTCAGTCCTTGCCTAAATGACTGGCTGTCGTTGCTTCTTGATTCTGCCTGTTATATCCGCCTAACGTCGTTGGTGCTGTAACAACAACATCAGACATGTCATGAATATGACCTAGTTTAACCCTAGCATACTCAGATCACTAGTGTAATCATATTACCAGATTACCTGCAATCTGACAGAATATTACTCTTATTACAAATTCATAGATCACTGTGTATATGTGGCTCATGCAACACTAATCACAGCCTTTCATAACAGCATCACCCCTTTCTGGGAGGCTAGCATCCAATAACTTATCCCAGGGGTACAGAGAGAGGAAATCAAAATTAGGCAACACAATTCTCTTGACAGGGGAACTGCAGTGGAGCGTTGCTTTCCATGTCTATTGGATTGTTGATCAGAGCAGGTGGAGCAGTGTGGCTAGTGTCAGCCCTAAGGGGCGAGACATCCCCATTCATTTCCTCTTGGGGTTCTTGGCAGTCAATGCCTCTTCTCCTGTAGTGATTGTTTCTCTTGGCAGATTGCAGTGAAACAGAGGCATGGAGATCTCAGACCCCGGATTGTTGCTGCCATGGATCACTACGAGGAAGAGGTGGAGGTTGACCGCCACAAGTATGAAATGGAATGCTGGCATCTGCGAGGCCAACAAAGGGCTGCTTTCTCGGGTATTCCACGTCTTCTCAGGACCTGACAGTCTCTCTCGGCTTCTCCAGATTGATCGCTTTGTGGACCCTAGGATTGTACTGCAGGGCCAAGACAGGCGAGGCGTGGATGCGTCCCCAGCTAGCTGCAGCCCCGGCGATGCGCTGGGGATTTATTTCTTCTGCCTGATCCCTTGCTAGATTTCAATCATTCATATACTCTTGCAGTTCTTGGTTGCTAACAATCGGGCATATCGAGTGTTCAATTACTGCTTATTCTACCTTAAAGACACGATGTCCTATCCGCAACAACCACAACAAGGATAGTATGTACTCAGCCATCGCAGCTCATCTCGATAGAGCGCGTTCTGACGAAATGACTTGACAGTTATCCTCCCCCTCAGGGGCAATACCCACCTCCCCAGCCATATCCACCTCAGGTAGGAGTCACATATTGCCAAACACCAACGGACCATACTGAACCTCTAGATGCAATACCAAGCCCCGCCTCAAGAGGAAAAGAAGGATCGTGGATGTTTAACTGCTTGGTTTGACTCTCCGCCTGTTCAGGTGAATATTACATACTGATTGATCCCAGTCTGATGGCCATGTGCTGCTGTTTCCTGTGCGAAGAGGCCTGCGAGTGCTGTATCGAATGCGTCGAATGCTTGTGTTGTGGATGCTGAGCGATAATTTTTGATTCCCTGTTGTTTCCCTGCTGGGAATGCAAGTTCTGGTTTCTCGTTGCAATGTTGTTCGGATATTGGTCGCTTAGTGGCAATGAATGACACTATGTCTGACGACTCTCAACTTCCAGTAGCCCTATCAAATATGACACCCTTACGAGGCATGAGGGTCCCTGATAACTGTTTAGATTGCAATCTATAGTAGAAGGAAAAATGCTTTCTGGCTCCTTCTCCCAACTCGATGTCTGAAGATAGATATAATGAACTAACTAGACTACCACCGGAAGAACCAAGTACGACTCATAAGTGCAGCCTGAGTAGATGGAATGCGTGCCTTCGTTGACTGTCTCCTCGTGGAACTGGACGACATCCGGTGTCTTGTGTCGGAAGCTATCATTGCCTTGGATGCGCAGCTGGAGCACCTCGCCCTCGTGGAAGAGCGTCGATGTTGGGAGAATCTCAATGTCCACGGGAACAATCTCCCCGGGGCGCAGCAGCAGTCGGCGCTCATGGGTATGGAAAGGACGGTCGATGGTCGTCTTCGCATTATCTAGTTCGCGGTGACTGACACGCAGCCAGCCCAAGCCCAACGGGCCATCGTCAATCATGGAGAACGCAACGAACGGGGTGATCTTGCCCTCGCAATCGAGCTTGTCGAGCTGCACGAACAGATCCATATCCTCGCCGTGGTCGGTTGACACCCACAGCCGCAGCCGCATGGTGCCGGTCAGCTCGGTTTCCTGGGAGAACCGGTGATGGAACAGGACGCAGTCGTCCGTCACCCGAGACTTGTAACTAGCGACGGCGAGGGAGGCAGGCAGCTCGTCAACGAGCTGCCGCGACTGCGCGTCAAGGTACTTCTTCGTGTACTTGGTGCGGGCAAGGGGCCACTCCTGCTCGTCGCGGAACGCGCCCACCCAGGCGCGATTGCGCACCTCGAGGCGCACACGCGGATAGCTGTCAATCTCGCTGGTCTGGCCTTTGAGGAATTTCTGAAAGAAGGCTTCCTGCCGGCGGACGCTCTCCGGCTCGAAGAAGTATCGCCACTTCTTGCGGCCGTGGACCTCGAGCCATTTCTCCTTGGAACTGATCCCCATGAACCCGTTGAGGGTGCCGCGAGTGTGCATGCCGTGGTCGCCCCAGTCGGCGACGACGTAGGCCGGCACGTTGATGCGGGCCAGGTCTTGCACGCATTTGGACCGGTGGTAGTCGTCCAGCAAAGGGTGGGCCTTGTTGTTGGCGATCAGGTCCTCGACCAGGTTGACGCCGCTGCGGCACGACCACTGGGTGAAATGCAAGAACTTCGTCTCCGGGATTCGTGCGTGAGTGTCCAGTCCAGGTCACACAGGGGAGTCATCACACGCACATCCGACGATGCAGGTGAGCCGGGTCGCCCTTGGAACCGACTGCGCCAGAAATCATGCCTCAACTGTTCTTCTTGACGGTCAAGAACTCTCGATTTGATCCAGTTCCTCTGATCCTCGATTCGGCTTTCCGGCATCAACGCCAAGCACGTGTGTAGTATCTGTTTGATGGTTTGTTGGCATCGTCTCACTACCCTATTTCCCTGCGGCATACTGCTAATCGCGTCGAGAGCTGTTTTAAGTATGTCGACGAGGCCGGGAATAGTGTACGTCGGCAGATTTACCGACCCTCTGACCAGAAGGACAACAGCGGCTAACAGCGTCAGGGATGCATTGAGAGCTGGTACTCGCCATCAGTCTCAGTCCATGGGGGGTTGGTCAGAGAACGGACCTGGGGCACTTACTGTAGTACGCGGAAAACCACCATATCGGCAGTAGAGCCGGCCGCTGCATGCTGTAAGAGATGAGCTTGACAGATGAGACTGCACAATCTAGACAGGAGGCAACACTGGTGTTCATTCCCTCGTTGTAGTATTGATCACAAACATCCGAGTCCAACTTCTTCTCCAGCATGTGGTAGAGCACAGCGCGATGGAGCAAGGCCCGAACATTCAAGTACCGCAGACTGAGGAGTACCTGGGCACGCTCTTCTTGCAATGGGCCTGGTTGGGGATCCTCGGGATCGAGACCGTATGTAGAAGAGGCAAGTAATGGCAGGTACGTCATTCTCCAATCTTCGAGTCTGCTTTCAATGGCAATGACACGCTCTAGCAAAGCTGGCAGCGAAGCAGACATACTGCTTTCCAGATTACGGTCATAAACGTCCTCGATAATCTCGCCCAGAATAAGGTTCAAAGTACTAGTAGAACTCAGCAAAAATGAGAATAAAATATACAGGAAAACGAGCTTTAAACCTACGACGTGTGTGTGAATGACGTGCTGGTGGACAACGTCGCTGAAGATGGGTCCTGAAGATTGATTCCTGTCTTCCTCGTACCGAGGCACTCCGTCGGAAAGGGGAGATGGGTACTGGTGATATAGGCGTTTGGAATAAGAGGTGGACGACCGAAAGTCATGCTGCACATTCTGTTGACAAGGGACAGAGATGGTTAGAGTAGCACGAGAAGTGGTAGCGGACAATGCCAGATGCTAACATACCGATCCATCATAACGCACATCCACCAGACTCGAATCCGCATTTCGCCATCTATTGGAGGCACTCGTTCCGTGATTGCGGGACGGTAGAGCCCAAGCTGGAGCGCACCATGCACAACGTATCCCAGGAGCGACCAGGTTTCATCCCAGCACTGCGTGCCCTGAGAGTACTGTAGACCGAGGAGCAAAGCTTGTACTGGCCAATCGTTAGCCGCCAGCAGTGCACAATTCAAGATATACCCCCTCGGGCGTAGCAACATACTTGATTCAATGCTCGTCATATGAGCTATAATCCCGGGAATCATGACCCGTGCTCTCTGGAAATACTCGTAAGAAAAGGCCAGGTTATCCTCTGACGGTGGATCCAATTGACCCTGGATAATGGCAAATGCCATGCACATGTTGAGGATACAATACTTGACAGGCTCCAGTGTATTGTTTTCGCTTTTCTGCAAGGAGGCAATATAGCCGAGCACCATTGTCTCTCTTATGTAGGGAAAGACATGCCCGGTATGTGTGAAGAAAATCTTCACCAAACGTTGCATCTCTGTCGGGGCCGGTAACATGAACGGGTCCTGTGTAGTCCGTGATGAGTCGGTTAGCAACACCGGTTCTCTGGTGCTCTGGCAGACGGGTGTGCTGGATCTAGAGATTGCGCTGATTCCTTCCCAGGTCGCGATGAGTGACATGTTAGATGCTTTTGGACGTGGCAGGTCTCGGATAGCACGGACGATGCGGTCCAAGAACGCGGCGTGGGATGTTGGACCTTGGTTGGTCAGGCTTCTTCGAGATAGATACTTGCAATCTGGACGGCTCGCTTACCGGAATGACTCCTTTCTCGCTCGTTTGCAAAAATGATGCAGCACATGCCATCGACCCGATGTTGTGAGTCCCTCGCAGACGTCGGCAAAGGTACGCTTGATAGCCATGAGTACACATTCGAGAACACTTTACTCTTGGTCATGACCGTGTACATGAGCTGTTCCACTCTGGTCAATCGTTCTTCCACTCATACCCAAGGATCTTTTGCACTTTTCCGAGACTGGGGCCGGCATTGGCTTGATGGGGGGCGATAATGGCACTGAAAGCCCATCTGAATGCACCCGTCACACACAGGCCGACCACCATTGCAACGGGTTTTGCGATAGCGACATTGCTCACAAGCATGGGCCGTCCGTCTTCGTCTGCATTCTTTGAGATCCGGGTTTGTCGCGGTATTCATCATGAGGGCACAGAATGCAGTAATACCTCTTTACAGACTGCTGGTCCTGCTGAAGTGGAATTGGGTGCATAATATAAGTCTATCCTGAGTCTTTGAGAGTGCTACGTTTACTTCAAGTTCATTGTATTGAAGCTCAATCTTACTCCAGCACCAGCGAGTTTGGTTGACCCGGTCAATCACAGATCCGGGTAGACTCATCCGTTCTCCACTAACCTTCCATAGGTATCTTCTACCAGAGGTACCCTCCGGGACAGAATAGACCGATCATGAACGGGGATATGATCATTTGGCACTTTCGCGAGCCTCAACCGTGGCTTCTATTGGTTATATACTGCAGTATCGATGATTGATTCCCCCGCCGCTGCTGAATTCAATGTCCTAACTCCCAAGGGCCTTCTTTCGCAGGTGGCTGTTAACACTTGCTTATTCAAGCATCATTTGTTATTATGGGTATCTAGATCTTTGTTTCTGACATTCGAGAAGATCTCCCTGCTGTTGTCCAGCACGATGGCGACACATAGCTGATTATATATTAACTGATATTTCAGAGACATCCATCAATCATCCAGGCAACTTCTCATAGACTGTTCGATTGGCTGTCTCATATTCGTATTTGTCGTCGACTCATGGCTCATCTATTCTGACAATTTGAGTCCTAATAACGTATCGCCATGGTCCATTCAGCGGCTACTAGAGAGATATTGGATTTATTCAAGAATCTTCTCCGCGAACATGGCTTTCAGAAGTTCGATCGAGATCAGAATACCGATGATGACACCCTGATGTACTGCCCTGGATATGATATGGCGATGATGCTTGGCTAATCAGTACCCAGGCGCTTTCTGGCCGCCAAACAGTTTGACCTTCAGGCTGCCTTCCGACAATTCGAATTCTTTCAGAAGTGGAGAAGACAGCATCAGATACGGCACTTCTACGAGGAGCTTGATGTTGAAGCATACGAGCTGACCCGGCAAATGGTATGGGTCTTTATCCCACTGGTCCCTCGCCATGAAAAGAAGGCTTTCTAACCTGTGTCAATACCATGGCCATATAGTACCCACAATGGATCGGTCGGCGAGACCGCGATGGTCACCCAATTTACGTATTCCCGGTGAAGTATCTCACCAGGAAGAAACTTGATGAATACCTCGAGCAGATTTCTGCTGCCCCAAAACCCGCCAGCCATGAGAAGTCCCCCGTCCCCGCATTCGAGCTCCATTTCCATGCTCTGTATGAGAATCTCCTGCAATTCGTCCTGCCGCTTGCCTCTGAGCTTCCACGCCCTGATCAATCCCGTCCGGTGTCGTCCTCGACGCACATCGTGGACATTAGCGGCGTTAGTCTGCGGCAATGGTGGTCCATCCGTAAGTATCTCCAGCTGGGCAGCACGCTTGCAACAGCCCATTACCCGGAAACTCTAGGACGAGTCTTTGTAAGTGACCCACTCCGAAATAGTCTGGTCAACCAGTCCTCCGTCTGATCGAGCTGACATGTCTAGGTGGTCGGAGCCCCGGCGTTCTTCAAATCTGTTTGGGAAGTGGTCAGTCAATGGTTTGATCCCGGTACCCGGGCAAAAATATCCATCTCGTCCTCCTCGGAAGCCAAATCTGCCCTTCTTCATCATATCGACGCTTCGGATCTGCCCCGGGAATATGGCGGCAATCTGGACTGGAAGTGGCAAGACCAGCCTAATCTTGATCCCGCGGCAAGAGCGCTGGTGGACGAGCTGTACCACAAGACGGACCGGGGCGAGGTGTTCCACAAGGGGCCGGTGATCTTCCAAGGTGGTTGTATTCGGCTGCTGGGCTCTGTCAGTGGGGAATCGAGACGGAATGCTTTCTGTCAGCTTTGATCCGTCTCTGTAAGTCATGTATCTTTACTACAAATGGGGAGTAGAATGTATAGAATAGTCGCATACAAATCCGTTGTCTTTCCACTGAGTGTAGATTTACGATGTCACTCTATATGTTCCTACGTATTGATGTTATAAACATCCAATCACCAGCTTTTAATAGGCTTTCCGTTTCTTCAATCAACCGCGCAAGTAAAGAATCATCTCAAGCGCAGGTAACCATCGAGTATCTCACTTCCTCTTCGGCAGGTCAATCGCCAAATCCAGAATCTTTCTCACTCCCGGACGCAGCTTCACTCGCGTAAGCCAGGCATAAACATTCGGGAATTCCCTCTCCAGCTCGATCCCATTATCCGAAGCCCAAGGGACAACCTCCATCCAGGTCACAAAGGAGATATCCGCATAGCTCAGTCTTCCACCGACCAGATACTGCCGTCCCTCTAGTGCACGGTCAAGAACACCCACCACCCGTCTGATCTCGTTCACGTACCGATTCACCGCGCTCGGTATCCGCTCAGGATGGTGGACCCTGAACCAAACCGCCTGCCCAAAGTACCGACCCTGCCCGGAGGACTGGAAGTAGAGCCACTGTCTCGCATGGTGAGACTCCGCGCTTCCTGGTGGAAAGCTGATGGTCAGCGACGGGTCGTATCGTTCAACCAGGTATTCGATGATGGCGCCCGACTCCCACAGGGTGATCCCGGTGTTGGAATCCTCGATCGCGGGGACGCGGCCGTTGGGGTTGATGCGCTCGAAAGCCGGCTACTTCATCTCGCTGAACTCCAGTGGCTTGTGCTCGTATGGCAGGTTGAGTTCCTCGAGGACCATGGCGACTTTTCTGGGGTTGGGTCCGGCGCGGTGGCCGTAGAGGATGATTGGGTTCATGTTGGAGGTCGGTTTAAACCAGGACACGCGGTTCATGGGGCTAGGGGCAGGGGAAGACATCATTTCATGCTATCCGTGAGTCTGTAAAACTGCACGTCTTAGCAGTTTGCTTGGGTATGCTTGTTGGCCTAGGATCAATACTCGACTCTCCATCTGTTTATCCGGTGGAGTCGGGAGGGAAATAATAGGGTCCAGGTCTGTTTGTGATCCTGCTCTACTTTTCAAAACATACATCTAATTCGTCGCATTCTTTCATCGTCTTGTTTGCCCGACGGGCCAATGGACCTGCCGACGGAGCAGCGTCTACCGGACTTTGATCCACCATTTCCCGTCATATACTTGGTAATTCGGGTATATATTGGCTAATGAGGATGGGTGAGATAACCTAGGAACCTTCGACAAATATCCAGGCACGATGTCATCCGCGGGTATGCATCTCTGGCTCGGGACCGATCAGTCCAGCTCATTGCACCAGCTTTCACCTGTCCGGGGTTTCGAAGGAGTCAAAATAAAATGAAGGAGGATAAAATTGAAGAAAATTGGGTGCAGTCCGAAAGCTTATGCGTCTACTGTTCGGTATCTTGTACATTAGCAAATATACTTCTTCTGGTGACTTTGCTGGCCAGGATTTCGTAAAACGAGATTGCCACAGCTATCATCACATCTTTGCCTGTTGTGCGAGTTTCTTCTCCCCCGCTTGATAGATCTTGACCAGTTGTCGCACGGCCAAATCCAGAAGGACGTCCTCTGATCCACCCGGGATTCGCGCTCCAGGAACATCTCGTAGAATCGCTATCACAAGTCAGCGTAAAGCCAGAAACTCTGAAGGCGAGAGGAACCTACCCTCGACCAACTCGCCCTGTCCACTGGCGGTGAACCCAGCACCACCAAACAACAAAACCGCACACTGAGCACATTCGTTGAGCACGATAGCCGCCTTCGCCTTGGCCAGCGCCGTGATACCTCCCAGCTGTCGATCGGCCTCCTCTTTGCTAAGATGACACAACTGGTACAAGATCTGCTCCACCCACGCCCACATCGTCTCAAGCTCCGCGCCTGCCTTGGCTAGCCGGTGCCTCACCACGGGTTGATCCATGAGTGTCTTGCCGAAGGCCTCGCGCTTCATCGTGTACTGGAAGGCGGCAGCGAGGGCGACACGGGCCTGGCGAGTGACGCCAACAGCGATGGTCAAGCGTTCGTGGTTGAAGTTGGTCATGATGATGCGCATGCCGTCGCCTTCGCGGCCTATCAGGTTGCCCACGGGGACTTTGACGTCGTCGAGCTCGATGTATGTCGTTCCGCCGGTGATCTGGCCGGAGACCTTGAGTCGACGCATGGTGACGCCGGGGTAGCCCTTGAGAGGGACAAGAATGACTGAGAGACCAGCTGCGCCGGGGCCACCGGTGCGGACGGCCATGGTGGTATAATCCGACCAGATTCCGTTGGTAATCCTAGTTTATATCAGAAATGTCCATGACCTGTGATATAGTCTCGGAGGGTACCATTTCTTTGTCCCATTGATGATGTAGTACTTCCCATCCGGACTCTTCGTGGCAGTGGTGGTGATATTGGCGACATCGCTTCCCGCTTCTGGCTCCGTGATGGCAATGCAACCACGTTTCCTTCCGGTGAGGAGATCAGGAAGAAAACGTTCCTGCAGCTCCTTGCTACCGAACTTGATGATCGGAGGAATACCGAAAGCGAAACCAGCGCTCAACGAGGCCCCCGGTCCAGCCAAACCCGACCGGGCCATCTATCACCACAGTCAGCTTTCTGCCATTTTGTTGGCTGTTTTCTCATCCATCATACCTCATCGCAGTAGATTCCGGTATGTAAATAATCCCATTCCTCGACCTTCACCCCCAGAATATCATGGATTCCCAGTCTCTTCAACCAGTCCACAGGCAATGGGGCGGGCAGATTCGGCAGCAACATGTTATGCTTGCAGAAATCCTTGAAGACATGTTCGGGAACTGTGCCTGCCTTCTCCCACTCCATTGCATGGCTGAGGAGGTGCTCCCATGCGAATGCGCGGCAAGCTTTCTGGAATCGACGATGGCTGGCGGTGTAGTATGGGGACGGGAGACCCCGCAAATATGGGGGCTCGGAGAAGGGGATGGGGTTGGGAGAGACGTCAGCCATGGCGTGGGTAAGGTACTGACGAGATCGATTTTGATCTTTGAATAACTCAGATAAGATCTCGCAAAGAATTGTATAGTTTAAAAGTAGAATTATCTGTAGGTGTATCTCTGTTTTCCCCGCATCTCCAATTCAGCCGAGGCCAGCGATCCGAGGCTTTCTCTCTTCGGCCAATCACGTGCCGTTCTTGTGGATTCATGCATTCGCATTTTGTGCATTTTTGTCATCTTAATACCGTTGAGCATGAAGGTGTTTCGGGAAACTTGGAGATGTTGAGGAAGACTCCGAGAAAATCCCGGAGAAAGTCTTGAAAGAGCTGGTGTTCGTCTTGCCAGGATCTCAGAGTCAAGGCTCTTCGTCCAATGACTCTCTCCTGTCCTATGGATATTTTAGGATATCAATTTCTTGAGAATAGGTAGACTCATAACACAGGCCATGGTGAGTGGAAAAGCTGTCTTCTGAATTAATGGAATTGCTTCAGGCATATACCATAACTATTAGTCCTTAGCATCCTTGCTGTTGTCTCATAATGTGACAGTATCAGCTACAGCTCCTTATTTCTTATTTTTGACATTTCTCTCATCGAAGACATGAGACTTGTTGTGATAAGCATCTCCTGGTGAAGCATATTGAGCATAAAGTCCCATACTGAGTATTCAGGATTGGTATCTTCCGCACTCCTCGAAAAGAATGCAAATCGCCTTAATATGCAGGCGATATCTAAACCCCTTTATCTCCGATTTCCTGCATAACCACTTCAACGGTTGAGCTAACCCCGAAGCCGTTTCCGAGCCGGTTCAGGCATCTTGCATCTGACAACCCTCTTATAATGCTATCCTCATCAACCAGCATCGCCACCTCATATCCATAATCATACACCAAGTTCTGTGCACCCCAATGGAGTGGATCGAAAGAACCCTATCGTGGCTCCTCGCCAACCGCAAGGGCCAGGACGCAGGCCTCATCCAGCATACCCCTCCTTTCACAGAGCATCCCGAACCATCGGTCGCGGTTGAATGTCCAGATATCGGACCATCCGGCTCAGAAATCCCAGTCAAATACAGCTTCTTTGGAGAAAACCTCTTCCCGACCCTCAAATGGTCCGTGTCGCCGGCCATCGCTGGCAACATCCAAGAGTGGCTTCTTGTAGTTGAAGATCCGGATGCACCACTCGCTGAGCCTGTTGTGCATGGTCTATACTATGGTATTCCTGCTAGCAAATGCAGTGTGTCGAACGAGGACTTTAAGCCCACCGCTGCGGGAAGTCATGTCCTAAGGGGTGGGTTCAGGTATGGGGCCAACCGTCGGGGAACGATCTACATTCCCCCGCGTGGAATGCTGGGCCATGGACCGCATCGGTACTTTTTCCAGGTGATTGGGTTGTTGGAGCCATTGGCTGTAAGCAAGTTGAGTGCTGTGGCTACCAAGACGGAGATTGTGGGTTTGATTGAAGGGAAAGTCGTGGCATGGGGACAGTGGATGGGGGTTTGGGAGAGGAAGTAACAATGATTTTTCTGCTCTCTGACTACGGTATCTCTGCTGTATATCTTCTCATAATGGACACTGGGATCTGATATCATTCTACTTTGTAATTGTCTGTATCATGCTAGAGTGCCGGTTATCCGATGGATGACTCAGGCAGCAGTCAAGCTTTCCCCACCTCATCCATCTGGTTGCATGACAATGTGCACAGTTACAGAGAATTTCATCTACTTATTCTATAAGTCGAATCTTATCAACTACATATGCACTATGACATAGGTTGTCACTTATCAAGTCCTGCAAAATATCTACCACCAAGTCCCTGGGCTTAGACACTCAAAGCCGGTGCCGGCCCTGAACCGGGCTTGCCAAAATCCTGTCCACAGTCTGTGCGGCCCTAGCTTAAATACATTTCTTTGGTATCAAGACCACAAAAATCTTCTGGTTTCACAAATCACAACATCCGAGAAAAGGTGACAGTGACACCAGATCTGTCCTAGGAACCCTATTTCCATGTCGGATGAGAAGCAGCAGCAGCAGCAAGATCCTCAGCAAGAGGCCATCGCCAAAGAGACACATCCCGGTCAAAATGTTACCACCAAGTATTTCTCAGTTTTCACCACCAACGAGAAGAGAGCCATTGTCTTGATGGGATCTCTGGCCGGCTTCTTCTCCCCGCTCTCTTCCAGTATCTATTTCCCGGCGCTGGACAGTATCGCTTCCTCGCTGCAAGTATCTATCACCAAGATCAATCTTACTGTTACAACCTATCTGGTACGTATCATCAAATAAGAAGTCTTGAGCGAAATCACTAACTTGCCCAGCTTCTTCAAGGAGCCTCGCCGATGTTGATCGCCGGCTTCTCCGACAAAGTAGGTAGACGGCCGGCATACATCATCTGCTTCACCATCTACATCGCTGCAAACCTCGGTCTTTCGCTCCAAAACAGCTATGCAGCTTTGATGGTGCTTCGCTGCATCCAGAGTGCCGGAAGCAGTGGCACTGTTGCTTTATCCAACGGCCTCGTCGGCGACATGATCACCTCCGCCGAACGAGGCTCATACATTGCCTTTGCATCGATCGGGCTGATGCTGGGCCCGTCTCTCTCTCCCATCATCGGTGGTCTGATCAGTCAATATCTGGACTGGCATTGGATCTTCTGGTTTTTATTAATCCTCAGTGCTGTCTTCTTCGCCATTTTGCTCCTGTTCCTCCCCGAGACGTGTCGCAAAGTCGTCGGTGATGGATCCGTTCCCCCGCCGCCTCTGAACAACAACGTCACCGATATCATCCGTCATCGTCGTCGCAAGAGAGCTGGAATCGCCGTGGACCAAGCGACAATTGCCGAGCACCGCAGGAACTACCGCTTCCAGCTCCCCAACCCCCTCCCGACCCTCCTCATCGCGTTCGAACTGGAAACAGGCCTGATCCTCCTCGCCGCAGGATTGGTATTCGCCGGGTTCTACGCCGTCATGACCGGCGCATCCACCTCTTTCCATGAGATCTATGGTTTCAACGATATCCAGTCCGCACTGATGTACATCCCTATCGGCGCAGGCGGGATTGTTTCCGCCTTTGTTACCGGCCCCCTAGTGGACTGGAACTACCGCCGCCATGCCATCCGTACTGGCCTGCCCATCGAGAAAGGTAAGCAGAGCGATCTCAGTAACTTCAATGTTGAGCGAGCCCGGCTGGAGATCGCCTTGCCGGCTTTCTACATCTGCTGCGTGATGATGATCGCCTACGGATGGGTGATGAACCAGAAGGTCAATCTTGCCGCTCCGGTGATCCTTCTGTTCATCTTCTCGTTGGGTCTTAGCTGCGCATCGCAGGTCTTGAATGCTCTCTTGGTGGATTTGTGGCCCAAAAGGTCTGCTGCTGCGACGGCGGCGAATAATCTGTTTCGGTGTGAGTTGGGTGCCGGGGCGTCGGCGGCCATTGCGCCCATGACGAACGCCATGGGACATGGGTGGGCGTATACAACACTGGCGCTGATATGTGTGTTGTCGTCTGGGTGTTTGTGGTGGACGATGTTCTTTGGGATTCGATGTCGGCAGAAGAGGGCACAAAAGGAACAGGCGAGACGCCGCAGTTGAGAAGACTTCTGGCCACTGAGAATGTAGCATATTCTTGTGGGTACATGCATCAATTCAGATATATATGAACCGCTCCCTTGGCGAGCATAATAACACAGATACTTCTTTACAGCTATTACTTTCCGACTTCAAAGATTACCTTCTGGGTCTTCATCTGATTAAAATCGTCATACCTGCGATTGTTAGCATGATTGAGAAGATAGGCGAAGGACTTACGCTGTGAGAGCCTCCGACAGCGGTCGAATATCAGCCGTCATGAACCTAGGCATGGTCAGCCGTGTCTATCAGAATGGAAATTGCATATACACACTCCAGTGAGTCCTGTTTCTTCACCAGCAATTCCAATGCATCTCCAAATATACTCCGGACGGGACACCTCCCCATCTGAACCTGCAAATTCTTCCCATACGCCTCGTTCCCCGTCCAGGGAATCTCCCCGTTATGCACTCCCACACTCGAGATCCGCCCCCACGGTCTCAGCAACTCAAACGCCATCCGTAGCGCGCTGCTATGCCCAACCACCTCAATAGCAACATCCGCCCCCCGCCCATCCGTCAACTCGAGCACTCTTTCCCGCAGGCCCTGCGCATCCGTCTGGAAATTCCACGGCTCCGCACCCAAGCTCTTCGCTCGCTCCAGCCTGTCCGGCACACTATCCACCGCAATCAAAGCTCTAGGTCGATACTCCAACGCGCTGATCAGCGCACACAATCCCACAGGCCCACACCCAGACAGCACGACAGTACTCCCCCGCACAACCCTCTCATCCCATCCCCGGAACGCATTCCGCGCCGCAAAGAACCCCGTCGGGAAGATATCAGCCATCAGAACCAGTTTCTTCTCGTCCACGGCGGGCGGCGCCCCGACGAGCGTGGCATCGGCTAACGGGACACGCACGTACTCCGCCTGCCCGCCGTCCAGCACCGCGGAGCCGTACAGCTTCCCCTTGGCGCACCGCGAGGAACACCCCTGGGCGCAGTAGAAGCATTCGCCGCAGCTTATGGTGAAGGGGGAGACGACCCGATCGCCCCTTTTGAAGTTCTTGACCGCGGCGCCGGTTTCGATGACTTGGCCGGTGAATTCGTGGGCCATTACGAAGCCTGTGCTGGAGGGTTGGTGGCCGCGGAAGACGTGGAGTTCGCTTGCATCTCGTTAGTATACTGTGATTCAGGGTGAGGGGGGAAGCCTGACCTGCCACATAGCGCTGTGTAGCGGACTTTGATGATCGCGTCCGTGGGATCCTGGATTTGGGGGATAGGGCGCGTTTCCAGCGCGACCTCCAATGGGCCTTTGAATATCACTGCTTGCATTTTGATGGTAGTGTTCTGAATCCTTGGTCAGACACAGAGGTGGGTTTTCTGCTTTCATATATCTCTATCAAGCCTCTAGGTGATCGACCCCGCGACCCCGCGTCTGCGAAATGAGATACCTCGGCTGGGCGCTGGGCATACGAATGCCGACAGATGAACATACAGACTCTAATAAGACTCGTCATATTCTCTTCGTTTAGGCAAGAACGCCATTCTTCGAACATGCATCCTATCGAGACTTGATGAAGATCGGGTGAAAATATTACTCTACAGACCAAAATCTATCCCAGCAGAAAAGACCCACCGTGTTTGAGCATCTCTCTTTCTTCTCGACACTTGGACAAGCCGGAGTCACGAAGTATTCTCGTATATGCTATTGAGTCGCTTACGCTCTCAACAGCCGATATGACATGGAGCCAACCGCAGGCTCCGTGTAATCTGTTCTACTTGGACCACACGCAATATAACTTTCGCGGCGATGAATTAGAGAGCAATGTCCTCAACATTTCCTTAGAGTAAGCCGCTTCCTGGGGTCTAAAGACACTCTGACTCAGGAGGGGGTAGCAGTACGCCAGGGTTTTCAATCTTATAGATAGTACATTATTATGACCCAGGTTCGCAAAAAAGTATCACGTCATTCAATCATCCCTCGTTAATCCATATTCCGGTCCATCTTATCGATTCATCGAGCAGAAGATAGTCACTTGGCTTATGAACGAGAGCACATTCCCATCGGAGCTATAACATAAATCAAATATTAGCATTCAAGATGATCAAGTCAAACTAAACAGGATATCAGGGAGTCTTACTATATCGCATAGAACTAAAGTCGAGCTCCCTCTGGTATTGATATTCTGGCGTCGACTTTGGCGATTGTTCTTTGCCGGCTACTAGCGTGGCAGCATCACTGTAGACAGAGGACGAGTCGTCCTTGGCAGACTTATGGGCTTTCTCTGCCGCCTGACGCTGCGGTTTGGATGATTTGAAGGGGTTTGAGAGTTTGAGAGGCATGATGAAGACGTGAACAGCTGATTTGTGTCTTTCGTTGATTGTAAATATCATTTTGGGTCTTCAGAGCCTTGAGCCACGCCTGTATTTATATTTAAGCTCTCCAGGCATAAGGCATCGGAGTTGGCCAGCCCTCTCCCTGTAGATACTCCGAAAATTCGAACTCCGAATCCATTTTGCCTAGCAGGTTGAAACGATGGAACCTAACCATTGGATGCCATTTTTCAAGGGTAGTGTTACAGTGACACCCTGAGGATATAACGTAATCCACGGCCGAGCTACGCACTTTCGCCGCTCCCACTACGTTTTTTAAAGCTCTTCAACTATCAACACCAATAAATTAAACTATCTGGAATATGAAATAAATAGCTATTTAATAGGGCAACTTCTTATTGT